GGGGGGGAGAGAGAGAGAGAAGGGGGGAGAGAGAGAGAGAGGGGGGAGAGGGAGAGAGAGGGGGGGAGAGAGAGAGAGAAGGGGGGAGAGAGAGAGAGGGGGGAGGGAGAGAGAGAGAGAGGGGGGGGGTGAGGGGGGGGGGTTTTGTCGTCACTGGGAGCTGCAGCAGCATCAGCATCACCAACATGAGTAACGGTGCGCAACTTGGAGAAACAACTACACTGTCCGGAGGAGCGCGCGCGTGTGTGTGTGTGTGTGTGTGTGTGCGTTTACTGTGTGCTTCACGAGCCTGTTTGAGAACGTATTCATGAGGACGTAAAGGTGCCATAAACTACACGGGACTCGGACTCTCTGTGGACCTCTGTGGAGCCATGGCTTATTTTAAAAACTACAATACTTATCTGTCCATCTTCATTTTGATAGGTAAGTAGGCTGGCTGCCGTAATTTACTTTTACCTCAATGAACGTTTGTGTTTTTATAAACCCAGACGAAGTTAACCACAATAAAACGTTCAGATAGTAAGTATTTTATTAGCAACTTTATTGTTTCTCAATGATTCAATGAATCAATTTTACTCCAATATGCAAGTTTCTATTAAAATGTAGCGCAAATAATCAGAATCGTCATAAATGAATGAGCCTTTATTCCATCAGGTTTCCATCCACTACTACAATGCTTACATTAGGAGTGAGATCGTAGAGATGCGCTAGGTGGCGCTAATTCTCCGAGTGCAATTATACAACTGCAGAAGAAGATGTAACGAGGCGATAACGTTACTCTAACTTTCCCAACTCAGCCATGTGTTAAAACATATTGGAGATTTTTTTTTTTTTTTTTTTACAATTTGCTGGGTTTCTTCTCACATTTTGTACGCGTAACCCGCCGCTGCTCTATAGGAGGTCGCTCCAGTGGAGAGGTGTCACCAGTTAGTAATCAGCCTGTTGACATTTCATTTCATCTCTGAGTGCCTGTGAGTATACAGCAACGCTCTCTCTCTCTCTCTCTCTCTCTCTCTCTCTCTCTCTCTCTCTCTTTCCCTAATTTCCACGCACACACTGCATCAGTCCAGGTGTCATATTCACTTGAGGCACACTTGAGGGAATTTGATGTAGATTCATTTACACTGCAGCACGACTACAAGACTTGGCAAGAAGCCGGCTCTGCAACTGCTCTTATAACAGTTAGTGCGGTTTGCAGGGGCAGAATATTTTGTCGTGTTCCCTTTAGTGTTTTATAGAAACAAATAAATAGAGGAAACTATAACCGCCTCTTCAAAAGTTAAGGTAGCAGTGAAACAGGTTAATGGTCAGATGTCATTTTGTTAACCTTTTCACCATAGCTCATAGCCTTACTGAAAAAAACACACATATAAACACTTTAAAAATATATATGTTTTTCACGTTCTTTGAAATCCCCCATCAGTCTTTATTTTTGAAAAATTGTTTGTATCAAATCCAAATTACATTGTTTACCGAAAGACTATTTATTTGTGCTCCTTGCTTAGCAGATCCTACCACGCTTAATGTCGTATGAATGAAGACAGTGTTTACGACCAGCAGAGGCATGTCATGTGGGCAAAGAAATTATTATGAGCTCACTTGGATTCACCAGAGCTGTCTCATTCTTATCACTGTGAATTCATCTTGCTGTAAATGTTCCCATGGAGCACATCAATTCACTTCTTGCATGTCAAGATGTTGCATGTTTTGGATCACCTGGTTATCCATTGCGCATGGTCTTGTATCTGCTGGATATGTACTTCATGCCAGAGGCTTTATCCCAATAGAATTGCAGAGAATTCCTTTCCTTATTTCACAGATCTTCCGCAACACCACCTTGCATTTTGTAGAAGCCAGAGGAGGAGTGTGTCTCTTGGCTTCTCCTCTCTTTGGCTTCAGCAGCCACAGGCTGCACCAGTTAAGTGGCTCTTACTGCAGTAAATCCCAGTGACAGGAGAAAACGTTAGGTTACTTGTGTAACCCCGGTTCTCTGAGTAGCAGGAGTGAGTGCCTCACATTGGGAACGCCTACGGTGTGACTTCTTTAGAAGCTCCGATCGCATTTTGTCATCCAGAATTGGCTGAAACAGAGTGCATCAGTCTCAAGGGGCAGTTTGAGGCCCTCCCCTTATAAAAGGTCGTTCAAACTAGCTCAAATCTTCCCCGCTTAGAATCAATAATATGTTGGGCTGCTGGGGGATTCTGAAAGTGGTTGTTGGGAAGTGTTTTCGGGAGGGGGTGAGCTTTCATCAGGGCTCCCCCGGGGACATGTTACGTATTGCTCTCCATTCCCTCACAGTCAAGCAACGAGCTCCCTGCTCCAGAATGCTTCTCTCACTGGCAGCACTTGATTGAGGTTAGGGAAATATTATGGTTAATATTAGGCTAAATATTGAAAAGATTGACTGTGATTTGAAGCACGAGACAGATTTTTACTGTGTAAATATTAATCCAAAACCAATTTCCTAACCTTCCACATTCCTATGACTTACTGGCATTACGATAATGCACGATAATGGTCAAAATGATAAATGATCACGATTATAAGATCACGATTATTACTCTCTCGACTGCAGCTACAACATTCCACTGTAGGGTCACATATACTTTTTGCATGGTGAAGAGAAATACATAAATGTATGTATACATTGTGCAGCCTGATGTTGTACAGTGGGAACACTGGAGGTATTAATGCCGTTTCAGACTGTTCACTATTCCTGTTCTCTCCTCTTAACAGCTTTGCCAAATGCCAAGGGGCATCTTTCAAAATGGTGCAGAGGGAGCACAGCGAAATTGCAACTATGCCATTAGTTATTAGGAGAAAGTGCTTCTTTTCACACTGACTACATTTACATGCAAAATATATACCGGTTTTCACCCTTACTTAGTAAATACAATATTCCTTCTAAGCTGCTTACATGGCTAATGACACTAATATTCCTGTTTACATGTAGCCGTGCATGCTCCGATTATTGTAACCGGTGGCCGACTTGTTCGCCTGTGTGACCACAGACTCCCTCGCATATCCAAAAACCTGTTGAAAACCCACGTTTTTTTCATAGTGTTTATAAGTAGATGAGTTTTTCCTTCTGGCCAGAAATGTGGGCTTTTCTTTTGGGCATGCATCTCTACCCCAGCCTTGCAAACTGTTGGTTTGTGTCAAGTAAACAGGCAGGAGGGCCGTGAGTTGCAAATTGTATTAAATACCCCAATTATGATGCATATTCTTAATGCGCTGTGTGCTGTCCAAAGAAATGCTACATTCAGAATAAGGTGTAATTTGGAATATCTGAATGAATGCTGTTGACATGACTCGTATAATATTCAGAATATTAGTGTGTGTAATATAAACGTAATCAATGACTCGTGCCTTTATTTCTTCCAATTAGCCCGGAAGCCTCTGCTAATTTCGCCAAAAACGAGGGTTGGAAATAATGCTTTTGTTCAATCCCACCATGTGATTCGGTTTGTGCTATGTACCCGTTCAGTTTGCTGCCCTGCTTTCTGTTGCTAAAAAAGGCAGAGGAATGGCATCCTTAGATTTCAGTTGAGGCTTTTTGACTGACTTCAGCTTTTATTGTTATTGAAGATATTGGCTGACTGCAACACAGACTTACATAAATGGATTTGGGGTTACTTCAGTACTCAACTACTAATTCATACTGAAACCAGCAAGGCTTTTAGTTAATGACTGTGGAGGTATATGACTGCAATGAAAATGTGCACTTCGGTAATTACTGAAGATGTTTTTGTTTTGATTGTTGATTGAACATCAGTGACTCTCGAACAGCATTCAGTGATGTGTGTCTGTCTGTCTGTGTGTGTGTGTGTGTGTGTGTGTGTGTGTGTGTGTGTGTGTGTCTGTGTGCAGCATTAAAGAAAACCAATCATCTGTGTTTTTTTTTCACCTCTCAGTCCCCATAGATGTATGTTAAAAAAAAGACAAGTCTGATCTTCATAGTGGTCAACTAGGTTACCGTGTTCCCACTGTCACACAGCGGTGACTTGTGGCTAAAAATAATAAATCAGAATTGAATTATGAGTCTGTGGTGGATAGTAAGCAGGCAACAACCAAAACATGCAATAAACAGGCTGCTATAATTCTTTGCATCTGTCGATCAAGGAAATCAGAAACACCGACTCTTCTGGTGGTGGTTATACAGCACATTTTTGCTCAAATAAGCAAACAACAATTGTTTTTAATGTTTTCTTTCCAGGAAGCATTCTTGTTTTTAATTTTCTCCATATTGCTAGAAATACTGCGAACAAGTTTAGGTCTTAAATGAAAGTCTGCTGGCCAATGGTTTAACATAAGAGCACGGTGAGTGAGTCATATGGGAGACGGCACTGGTTCTGGTTACAGTGAATAAAAGACAGATTATAAGTAAGTGTTTGCACACTTTTCATAGACACTGCTGCTGCTAGATCTCTGTGCAGGAAGGCCTGACACTTTGTGACGGCTTCAGTTCCCTCGGTTTCCTACCTCCTCAGAATGTTAACCAGACAGATGGTAAAGTTAACGAGGTGCTAATTAGTACATTATAAAAGCTTTCAGTAATTAAACTGAAAACTTAAAAGTAACATTTACACTGTGTCTGGAGAATTTGAAGCCTTGGAGAACATATAACGTTACACATATTTATCATATGAGCTTTTCAGCTGCTCCACAATGTTCACCGTCTAGTTGCTAACTTTATCTGAATGTCATTTGACAGACCTTGTTATGAGCAGTTTCATGTAGTAACTAAATCGTAAAATAGTTTCCCAATAGTCCCATTATAATCAAAAGAAGGCAGACATCTCTACGGCCGATAACTGATATCATAGCCAGGCAAGCTGTCTCCTGTCTTTGTGCTGAACTTAGCTAGCCAGCTTCAGGATGTAGTTTGATATTTATCATAGAGATATGGGAGTGCCAATAATCTTCTCAGGCGTTTTCTCAGGTGTATTTCCCAAAATGTTTAACTTTTCCTTTATGGTTTGGTTTCTCTATTGCTTTTTTGAGCTTTCATAAGGTAATGCTACTTCCACTAATGGTCCAGTCGACAACATTCACTGGCATTCTTTGTTTTATAGGTTCCCATGAGGACAACCTTTTAAGTGGTTGAAAAAAAACAAACAACTATTTTTTTAAGTGAGGACAGTCCTTCTGTGGCTGTTCCAAGAAGATGATTTAAAACTTGCTGTGTCGAACCCAGAATTGGTCTTTATTGTTGTTAACTGGAGAGATTTTAACTAACCTCTGTTTTACTCCAATATTAGCACGAGGTTATGTTGTCGACAAACATTACTGGTGTGGACATCATTACATAGCATCAGAAGATAATGTTAACCGGTCCTTGTCTTCAATGAACTGTCTAACAATGTGAGAGTGATGCCAGATACCAGTCTTGATTCTAGTTTGAATTTGTTTTGTTTGTCATT